AAGAAAGAAGAAAAGAAAATAGAAGGAGGAGAGGAGAAGAGAGGAGACGAGAGGAGAGGAGGGGAGAGGAGGAGAGGGGAAGTGAGGGGAGGGGAGAGACAGGGTAACAAAAGGGAGGAGAGAGGAAAAGAAAAAAGGAGAAGGAGGAGAAGGGAAGAGAGAAAAGAAGGAGAGAAGGACAGCAACTAGTCAAAAGCAAAACAAAAATTCTTTTCAAAATCCTGTCTTCCACTTAAGGGAAAAAATTGCACTGCATACATAGAACATTTAAAATTTAGAGAATATACCTTTTTCGGAGAATGAAGAGTTTGTATAATGAATCTAAGGAAAACATAGATAAACAGAATTGTACTTGCCTGAGTCTCCTAGACCATGAATGTCTTAGAGCCCAGAACTGGCCCTATTGATCTTTATCATCCAGAAAATAATGTAGTATCTTATCATTCAATATTTGTTGCATTGAACAGAGTTTCCTGGAAGAAAACAAAAACAGAAAAAAATGACCACATCATGGGCACAGCATTTCCCCTTGTCTATAAAAAGAGAGTGTTTAAGTCTTCCCACAGAGTCAGATTTTTCTCTAGCACTGAATAGTATAAGAGACTGTGAAGAGAAATCTTTATTTGTGTGACATTTGGTCACATAATGGACAATGGTCTCATCTAAGGCTTTGCGAAAGCCTCAGAAGTACCCTTCAACTGCCCATTTCTTATATTAGCTCTGTAAAAGCCAACACAACACTGCTTCAAAACTCCAGGGTGGCATTTTCATGGAGAATGAACCAATCTGGCAGAGTAGCTAGCTGCCTTCTGACCAGATGCAGGAGTAGAAGTGAGAAAACCTGAAGTTGTGGCTCTGAGCCATAGGTAGGAGGCTGGAAGGCAGGAAGATATGCCAGAATCACCTGGAAGAATTTTTAAAAATATAAAATCCTCCTTCTACTATGGTTCTCATATTGTCGGGATCCCTGAGAGTGGAGGTAGGGCAGTACCAGATTACAGGCATATGTGTATTGAAAAATACAGCTTCCATTCCTTCCTCACCCCCTCACTATCTGGAGTACTAATCACCTTGGGTCATGCACTTGTATTTTATGTATCCGAATATGAGTATATAGTTTATATATGCATGTATTTATATGCCATTGAATCCCAGAAAGGATGGCAGATGGCTTACACATATTTTTAAAATACAAAAAAGGGAGGATAAAAAAATAGAAATGAAATGCCAAAGGGAAAAATGATGTTGGAAATTCAAATGCTAGTAGCCGTAAGTGCACTTTCACAAAGTTCAGCCAGCATCAGTTCAAGAGAGGCTGTGCTCCCTGGGAGGAGCTGCGAGGACAGAATGCCACTGGGGCAGCTGCTGGAGAAGCTGGCTCTTCCTTACAAGGTGCAGACCCTGACTTGAGTGCTTACCAGACAGGAGAGAGGTGGGTAGCCAGGGTACCATTTTGTAAAATTGGGATTGTCACTGGGTCCCCATGATAGGAGATTTGGAATTTGGGGAATTAGCATTCAAGGTAAAGGATGGTTATTAGGTCTTCCTGCGGCCCTCCTACCCAGAGTGAGGACCCAGTATGAGATACCTGAAAATCAGCCTTTTATACTCAGTTTCTATCCTGACCAAGCGGACAAACTACAGACTGTATGTCTAGGTCAACCTAATGCTGATTCTGTCTTGAATGAACTTATTTTTTCTTGAGTATATATTTGTGATACATAATGAGGGTATTCATGATAGGGAATTGGTACATATATGTATTGAATCTTAGTCCTTTTTACGTCCCCTCCTTGTGCCTCTGAATTCTATTTGATTAATGCTATTTTACTGCAAATATGAAACATTATACTTGGAAAGAGACCATGCATTTATATTAGATCTCAGAACAGGACTGAAAACATTGGCATATGGGTGAAATAGCATTAAAGGAGAAGGGACAGACCAATTGATTTCACCGAGGGATTATAAATAAGTATAGGTCAGATAACTGATGACTTTTAAAGTACTGGTTGCTTAAATTCATTACAAATTGCACATACCTAATTCAAAAATCCAAAATGCTCCAAAACCCAATACTTTTTCACTGTCATGGTATTCAGAATTTCAGATTTTTCAGATTAAAAATGCATAACCAGTAAAGTCTGTGCAAATAATCCAAAGTCCAAAAGATTTTAAAATCTGAAACCGCTCTGGTTCCAAGTGTTTTTGGATAATAGATTCTTCATTTTTATCTCATTTAAGCATTTCAGTCACTGATTTAAGCACTTGATTTCATCCGCATCCATATGGTACAGGTGAGGATAGCTCAACTCCTCAGCATTGAGGTAGGATTCAAACTCAGCAGGCGGGTCAGTCAGCAATGCAGTAATAAAAGAGGTGAAGAATGATGTGCAGTCTGTAGTTCACAGGACACAAATTTTAAAAACTAGTTTTCAGTTATTCCCTGAAGCCCAATGGACTCAGCTTTTCGGGACCAGTGAGAGAGCAGCCCTCCATGGAAAAAAATGTTTCTTCAGTTTCCCTCTTAAGTACTGTACTGAGGCCTCAGTTTTGCCAAAGTAAAATTTGCTGCTGACAATTTCATACTGTAGTCATTTGGGTTAGTCTCAGCCAGTGGAGAAGGGTCTGCAGAGAAGAGATGGAATATGGTGCTTAGGGTGATCAAGAATTGAGCCTTCTGGCCCAGGAGTTTTAAGTAATTTTTTTAACTCATACCATTTTTTTAATGAAGCTTTCCATCATTGCTCTGCAAATAACTGATGTGCAAAAGTTTTTTCCTTGATACTTTCCTCTCAGTCAAGATTTTTGTTCATTTTACCTTTTCTAGTTAGAACTATGAAAATTTGTCTCCCAAAGACTGATTTTGTTTAAGATTTAATATGTTTTCAAGCCTCTCTTTCCCCACTTCCTGTGGAAAAACCCCACCTTCCCATTGCCTTTGAGGTTTTTGCATGCCATCTGAAATGTTGACTCGTGTTCACAAACCATGTGGAAGAATGCGAAAACTCCTTGTTTTGACCTCTACCCTAGGTTCTTATATCTTCACATATATCACCAGATTGCAAAGTCACATAATCTGAAGAAGTTTGGATAAGTCAGTCCTTTTAATACCTTTAAAACTGTATTTCTAAATATCTTATTCATATTTATTTCTTTTTATTTGATTACAAAATTATGACAGATGTTCTACATGCTTACATAGTTTTATTTGATGCTTAGGCCATAAATATGTGACCAGCTGCTAACCTTTGAGATTCTAATGCAAATGTGCAGTGTGTGTGCACATAAAAGCCTGAGCTAACACAGGCATCTGGGAGTGTTTTGCAAAGTTCCCTCATTCATAATTAAATGGCACAGGATAATATTTTTTCAACACTAGTTAATGTATTGCATATTGTTATCTTAGAAGTAGTTGTTAAGGTTAGAAGATATAGGCATAAAAATGATCAATCAAACAATGACAGCACAAACTGTTCTTTTTGATGAACTAACACATTAGTAGTATAGTTATATATCTTGCATAATAGATATTATAATAATGAAAGGAAGTACTCAAAAGGAAAGAACAACTGAGATGAGAAAGGAGCAAAAGAAGAAAGGAAAAGATTATATGTAAGTAGGTATGCACATAGAATAATATTTCTTACAGTGTTTCAATTTTGAGGACTTCAAAGGTCTATAGTTCCTCACAGGTTTGATTAGTTACTTCCTAGGTAGCTAGAGCTGTTCTCTAAAGGCATAACTGGATGCTGAGAAACTTGCCCTTTGATTATCCTCCCAGCCTTGAGGCCAGAACAGCCTCCACAGTGGAACTTTTAAGAAATGCTTTTTCCTAATTATACAGAGAGAGGTTATCTAATGACAGGTATAAGCTTTGGAACCAGGTGAGTATTTCTGGTTTTACAATATTTTGTTGCATATAGCACTTAATTTTAAACAATGTAAAACTCATGAAAAGTTGCAAAGACTGTTCCAAGCTTTCCCTTATACCTTTCCCCTGAGTTCCCTCATAATGTTACACTCCTAAGCATGGTACATAGAGGAGACATGCTCCAACAGCAAACACTGATCACATGCACAATGTGCCAGAAACTATTCAAAGGGCTGTAGAGAGCTAATTTATTTTGTTCTCACAGCAAACCTTTGTGATAAGCATGGGGTCCCCCATGTTAACAACTGAGGGAAGCAAGATATATGGAGGTTAAACTTCCCTTTGCCAGAATTAAACCCAGTCCATCTGGCTCTATAGCTCATGCTTAAATGCATACTCCCACCCTGAATTTTTTTCTATGTACCAAATTACTGTGCCATACCCTGTTTGTTTATAAAAGTTAAGTTTTTAAAATATATTTTAATTAAGGAAAAGAACACCTTGTATAAGATCTACAACCATTTAGTCTTCCCCTACATCCATATCACACATTCCTTCAATGACTTTCAAAAAGTGTTCTTTTAAGCACTAAGAAACATATTTTTGAGATGAACAGTAAGGTCAGTAAATGCTATGAACCACTCACAGTCAAGCAATATTTTCATGCAAGTTTACCCAGGAATAAACTGGCCCTGAATATGCTTTGGTACTCCAGACACATTACCCAAATCCTCGCTGGGAAAAAAGTAGCTATGGATACAAAAGGTAAAATTTGCAAAGGATATCAAGGATATACTTTGCTGATCCCATAAAATTTAGAATCTACAAAGAGAAATTAATAAACTAAAAACAAAAAAACAATGCTCCAAAACATTTAAGAAGAAAAGATGAAAATAGGTTTTATTCCCTAATTAACTCTACTGACAAGAACAAATTCCAGGTACTCGGTACACGTATACTACAAACAAAGCTCTTTATAATCTCTCTAATACTCATAACTTCCACAAAGCAGTGCCCATTCACTGAGAAGCAAGTTGGAGTTTGGGTTGCTCTCCCTATCAAGAGAAAGGAAAAGGTATAGAATCTAGAATCTCAATCCTGTTGTCTGGTTACTTCAATTCTAACAAACAACAATGAGCTAACAATCCAGGGATAAGCTAAGTAAGACAAAAATTAGTTGCCTTGATAATTAAGAGGTGTACCTTAATAGTCACCTGAAGCCTCTGCAGAACATGTCATAATGGAATCAGTAAGTTCATTAAATCTTTATTATTTTCTATCTTAGCTCCTTCATCACTTTCTTTCCACTCATGTCTTAGTTTTTGAAGGAGTGTAAACTTATTTTAGACCAAATTTACTGACAAGAGCTCACTGAGCCAAGAATCTATACTCCATGCTTTAGCTCAAGGATATGGGAATAGCTCTTACTTTTGTTTTCTGGCTAACAAAAATAAATATTCAGAGATGATTTATAGTAAATAATATTAAAATGCAAATGATGTACTCTAGAGGGAAAATTTTTAGTTAAGAAAGGTTGGAATGCTAAAATGCAATGATCATTTAAAATCTGCTCATCCATTCTGGAAGAATCCAAAAGACACATCCCTCACCAAGACTGTGAATTACATACAAGATGAAATCAAAGTGCAAGGATGCTCCTCTGACAGCCTTGAAGAGTTCTGTGTTTGCTCATCTTTGTAGATCTACTATTAGAGCATGGCTTATGATCAAATTATTATTCCTGAATGCAATGGGAATGATAGGATTCTGGAATAATAAGGCCAACTGAAATCACAACCAGAGGAGTAATACAAATTAATCTGATTCACAGAGATCTTGTGCAGTGACTAGTGAACCATATTGCCTCTAAAATTTAAATGGATAAGTAGTCTTTAAAAGATTTATTTGCCTATATAAGTAGAAATCTGTAAGTGAACAGAAATCTAGTTTACATCCTCAAATGAGAAAATCATAGTCTTTGGATCATCACCCAGACTTGAACTGACTCACCAACCTCATGCTTGTGCTTGAGGAAGGGCCCTCCTATAGTGTTAAAAATTTATCCTGTGTTTATGTCTCCCAATCTTTCCCAGATGACCTGTGGACATTCACTAAGATGACTATGTATCAGAAAAGCAGTAACAACCAGACTTCTCAGGTATTATGGAACAAGGCTAACACTATTTCTGAATACTGAAAATGTTTCTATAATCTACCAGAGTCAGCATTTATGGCAGCCAAATGATTCATGAAGATTTAGATTAGCTCTGTATCAGGGTGGAACCAATGGGGCCTGAAATCATCCTGTCATCATTCCATCAGTTCCAGCATGCATAGTTAGCTCAGACAAATTGAGCAGAATCCCACATTATTTTTCTAGCCTATTGAGGACAGGATACACAATAAGAATGGCCAAACAAAAGCCACTAGTATTGTCTCTACTTAAACACAATACCATGTGTCTTGGGAGATTTTAAAAATTATTGTCACCACCAAGAACTTGGAAGGTGCAAAGATGTTGATTTCTGCTACATTGTTATCCAACTAGTCTATAGTAGTTGGCCTGTGTATAAGACTTATAGAGCTTAGAGATAAAGTAATTATCTTAAAATTAATCAGATGATGACTTTTATTGCAGCTTCTCTTGCAGATGTAGCTTTGTTGCTGGAGAAAATCAACACACCCCCCTCTCACCTGGCCTATGGTTTTTTTCTCTATTTGTTTTAGTAAAACCATCACATCTGGGCATGGTGGTACATATCTGCAATCCCAGCACTTGGGAGACTGAGGCAAGGAGATTGCCATGAGTTCAAGGCCAACATAGACTACATAGCAAATCCCTATCTCAAAAAACAAAAATATGTGGCATTTAATATTTGGGACACGCTATATTAATAAGACCACCAGAAGCAGTTTCTTTTACAAGGCAACATACCTTCACTGTTCTACCTTAGAGCAGTGTAAACTCTCCAGTTCTATGCCATAATCTAATGCACAGAAATATGACCACTTTTTCACTCGACAGGACCAAGTGTTAATATACTAGAGTTATGACAGCATGATAATTGGACCTTGTGAACAATGATTTTAAGCACATTGAGAAAGCATTTCCATTTATTTGGAAATAAAATTCCCAAAACCTTAATGAAATTTTATGCTCTGGAGCAATCTTTTTCAGTGTTCTGGATAAGTTCCTGTACCAGGCCACTAAACATAGGAAACAACACAAAAATAGTATATATGTTAGAATTGGTAATTTTGAGGTAATGTATACCCATTTATCAAATAGCCCCCAAAACTTCTAGGTTTTACTGGGTCCCAGAACAAGAGAAGACTTTAAATAGATTTAGGCTGCTATGCAAGTTGCTCTACCATTTAGACCATATGACCTACAGATCTAACTGTGAATAACATTTCATGACTGACAGTAGTGATATATGTAACTATGTGAATTACAGGGAAGACTCAGCAAAGCCATGAGGTTCTCTGCAAATAACTACTCTCACTGTAAGAAATAATAATAATCTTTTCTTGTTACTGAGCCTTGGTAGAGAAAAAATGACTATGGGAGACCAACTCACTATATGATTAGAATTACCTAGTATAAACTAAGGTTTATCTGACCCATCAAACCATAAAATTCAGCATTCACAGCAGGGCTTGTTTATCAAATAGAAGCGGTACACATGAGATCATTCTTGAGCAGGTCCTAAGAACATAAATTGCTTGAGGAAGTGTCCAAGATGCTCCTGGTTTCTATTTCTACTATAATACCTTCTCTTTTTCACCCTGTATCTATGGCTTCATTGGGAGTTCCATAAAATTCATTCCCTGAGCAAGGGAAGAAAAACAAACCTTTTAGCATAGTTTACAGATGACTCTGCTTGTGAAAATGAGTGGCTCCAGCACTGCATCCACACACTAGAACCACCCAGGACAGTAGAGGAAAATTCTCTGAATGGGTAGAACGTAGAGTATGGTGGCTGATGGTTTATTTTGCCAGGTGTCAAAAACTATGAGTCTAAATTGCTTCATGAGCTGTAGTTAATGTTTCGAACGAAGATTCTGGTACTAAGGAGCAAGATTGAAAAATGAATGGCAAAAAGAAAATCTAAGGGAAGGGTACATGGGTAAGGCTGTCTGAACAGAAATGGGATGTGAAGATAATGGTACCTCATGCACAATGCTTAATAAAGGTGGATTTCATCAGTGAAGAAAGTTAAAAATCATATTGATAGGATGACCTATTCTGTGGATACTAGTAGCTTCTTTCCCTTACAATTTTGGCCAATGACCAGCAGAATCATTAACAAAGGAACATGTAGTTGGGGAACATAGACATCTATTTACCATCAGGTCTCGACCATCTTGAGCATCAATCTGCCTACAGCAAAAGCTAACACTGAGCCATAGGTATGAAGCCTTTCCTCAGGATGATTGCATACCAAGTTGATTACCTAGTATAACCTCTGTTATGGAAGACAAAATATTTTGTTCTTAGCTACTTACTCTGTATATGGACTTGCCTTCCCTGCCAGTTCAGTTTCTCCCAAAACTATCATGTGTGACTTACAGAGTACCTTATTCCCCATTCTTCGTGGTATTCCAAACAGCCTGACTTCCATCCAAAGAACTCACTGAACAGAAAATAAGGGATGATATGATGTTCATGAAATTCATGGGATTGACTGTCATATGGTGCTCCTCATCATCCTGAAGCAGCTAGCTTGGCAGGATATGGGATGACCTTTGAACTCTCCCTTACAGCATGAAGAAAACAGCATAACACTGGTAGAATGGCTCACATCTTCAAGGACACTGCACTCTCAATAGCATCCCATATCTCATAGCCAGGAGTCACAGGTTTGGAAATCAAGTGTCAAAAATGAAAGTAGCACCATTCACTATTCCACCCACTGATCTACTAGAAAAATTTTGCCATCTCTCAACTTTAGGCTCTGCCAGCCTAGTAGTCTTAATTCCAAAAGGAGAAACGTTTCCACTTACAGCCCAACAATTATTTCATTGAACAGGAAGTTGAGTCTCCCATCCTGCCACTTTGGACTCCTTGTGCCAGTGAATCAAGAGGTCAAAGGTGAGGATGGTTAACATTCAGGCTGTGATCATCAATCTTGCCTGCTGGGGGAAACTAGGGTGCTATTACATAAGAGGTATGAGAAGAAGTGTGTCTGAATAAGAAGATTCTCTAGGGTATCTCTTAAATTTCCAGGTGCCAAAATTAAATTCAATAATTCCACTGAGTCAGGACTCATAATGGGCCAAATCCTTCAGGAGTTGGACCACTGACTACCCAGGGTATTATGGTCAACTGAGTTGCTTGTTGAAAACAAAAGGACTATGGATTGGATAGTGAAAGAAGATCAGTATAGCTCATCTTCAACCTAGTGATCCATTTCATCAAGCACTGTGATATTTATGAATGTTTATTCCTTATTTTGATAAAAATATTTATGTCTGTATTACTGAATATTTTTGTTTCTTTCTCACTTTGTTCCCTTTATTATCTTACATAAAATTTAGTGCTCATAGATATAAATCTACAACTCAGTATTAAGGTAGAGGGCTCATAGATATAAATCTACAACTCAGTATTAAGGTAGAGGGCTAAAAAGGACACTATTAATTTCCTAGGAGGAGACTGTATATTACTCAAAGAGAAAAAAATAAAAATAAAAAAGACTATGTAATATATTTAAGAAAAAAAGTTGAGTGTCTTGGTACACTGGACAGCTGTATTATGTTAAGTTAAAGAAAGACTTTATCACTCTCTGTTTGGAGGTGAAGTCTGGTTTCAGGAGATTGAGGTGAGTGACAAGTGGTCAAAGAGAGAACCAGGAGCTTTGTAATATGTCACCTTGATTAGCGGTTAGGGGACTACAAGAGTAGTTCTCATAGGAGTTCTCTGGCAAAAGGGTAGCAGATAGTATTTCATAATATACACTTGTTCTCACTTATCTGCTAGCAAGGCCCCTCATGTTAGGAAGCAATTTGACCTGTGATTGCCCTAATTTGCCCTCAACCAGTGATGGTGAACACTGTAAAGATGAATGGCCAAACTGCAACCCAAAACCCACTTATCTATGGCAAAGTGCCAACAATGCAATAAAACCTGAATACTGAGGTGCAGGTTTAGAAAAGACAACTCAGACATTAATGTCTGTTGTTTTAAAAGAAACACAACACACATGCCTTATATTCACCACCACTGCAAACCCCTCTGAAATGTTGTAACTCCTGGCCCAAGTATGTCCTTGGTGAAGGGCCTCAGCTTCTGCATGCTGCCTGGATAACCCAGTACTGACAAGGATTTCAGTTCATCTGACAGACTCATTCTTTCTCTCTTCTATTTTACATCACATAAACATGTGTGCATATAGGATGTGTGTGTGTGTATGTGTATGTATGTGTGTGAACATTGCAAGAATTTGAACTTACCAATTGGTCAAGTTACCAATCTAACTTTGGTAGAAACTCTTGAAATATGTAACATAATATTATATATAATATTATTATATATAATAATATATAACAATATATTATATATAATAAATAATGATATTATACATAATACATATATAATTAGTTGTATACGTTTGGCATATAATACACACATATAATTAGTTGGAGAGATTTGGCATTGTAAAAGAAAAGTGAAAGCTGTCAAAACCAAAATGGAGACATTTATGTCAACTTTACCTCACAAAAGTACATAAAGCTGAGGGCTCATGCAGCAAAGATTCTTACAAAGGATTTCCTGATAGTAACTATCACTGTAGGCTAGTGGGCCACAAGTTTGCACAGAGATCACTACAACCTTACACAAAAGGCATTTCTACAAGACTTTTGCCCAGCAAGTGTCTACTCAACTTCAGATAGACACTACTGTTATTAGCTGTTATAACCTAAGCCCCCCTAACTATCACACCGTGAAGCCTGTTCTGTATAAGCGCCACCTGCTGCTTCCCCTCCCCTTCTCCCTTCACATCTAACTAGGCCATAAAACAAAGGCCTGAGGTAATAGCTCCTGACAACCCCCTTCCCTACCCAGTGGCCTGTCACAAATTGTGTTAATTACATTAGATTGTATTAGATTGTACTATTCTTCACAAAAATAGCTTCGTTATATTTGTATCACAG